GTTTAATGATGGACGGTCTTTCTTCACAAAATGGCTTCTTTTACTCCTCTCTCAAACCAACGTTCCTCTCTATCAAGAATGAGAACATCCTCATCTCTAACTAACTCAAATATTTAGGTCCCCTAATTCTAAAGCACTAACTCAAAWATTTAGGTCCCCTARTTCTAAAGCACTAACTCAAATATTTAGGTCCCCTAATTCTAAAGCACTAACACACTGAATGTTTTAACAAAAGCTAATTCTAAAGCACTAAAATAACCCAGTCAACCCATGAACATTCTTCAACAGACAACATGAGTCACATACTGTATTGCCATGTTGCTCTCTTAATTCTTATCATTGACATTCCACAGCTGTATTTGGTTTAATATATTGTCAATATGTTGTCACCTAGTGGATAAGTGACACACACATGAACAAAATGTGTGACAGCTTTCACCGTCAGCTGTTCACATTAATGTTGATCAATAACATTTAAAGACCTCAGTTAGTGCTTCTAAATTTAGCAAGTGCTAATCCACTAATAAATTTTAAAATCAGCAAAAGCCCTAAAGCACTTGTAATGGAACTAATACTTTTATGTTTAAGCAAGTAATTCCTGACATCCTTTAATGACCTAGGTTTTCATGACATGCTGTTCATCTGCAGATAGAATGATTAAAGTCAGAACAAGATTTGCTAAGAAGTCATTCTTAGATATCAGTTGTGTTTATCTTTGTGTTTTCCATTGACCTTGTATCAAATCTTGCTAAGATGACAGAATGGTGTTTGTTAATATATATATGAGGCCTCTCGAGACACAGGGTTCAACAGGGTTCAACAGAGTACAACAGTAGTGTGGAGTGACAGAGAGAAGCAGAGACACAGAGACAGGCCAGGTTGTCTGTGTTTCCTGTTGTTGCAATAAAACTCAGCTGATCATCTCACGGAGTACCTTCATTCTTGGACCACGTATTTCTGTCTTTGTTAAATAAATATTACCATAACACACTAATCAGGAAATTAGTTCCCCTATTAGTGCTTTAGTGCTTTCGGGGAACTGCTCACCACTGTCTGAGTCAATGAAAACACAGCATTGCCAGCTCTTTGCTGATCTTTTCCCTACCCACCAAGAACCCTTCATCACTGTCACAACAAAATTAAGCAAAAAGAACATCAAATTCCCAGCAGAACTCTCACCATACTGGGTCTTCATTGACGGCATCGTCAAAGAACAAGATGCAGAGACAAAATATTCCCACCAAAAGTGCATGGAAGGTGGACACTGTCCTGAAAACAAAAACCAGAACAAACACAGTCATCATTATCTCCTCCCTGACAACGAAAGATCATGATCAGTCAAAAAAAAAAAAAAAAAAAAAAAAACAGAATGGGCGGCATGCAAGAACATGTTCATATTCTTATCCTAAATTTCTCTTACTTTTGTTCGTACGAACATGCCATGTCAGATTCAACAAACTTATCATCAGCAAAAGTGTGTAAATGAGCAGCGTAAACTGATGAATGTGTATGCTCGTGCACGAGGAGAGGATATTAGCATAATTACCACCACTAAAACACCATATAAGGCTACGTTTCCTGCCCCACATACCAGGAAGTGTCCATTCATAAGTAACATCGCAAAGTAAAAAAGAAGAACTTTACAAGTTCGGAGATTTAAGTTCTGCACTCGGAGATCCACAAAAAATATTTTTTTAAAATGTCATTTTTAGCAGTGTCAGCTGTGGAATTAAAGGATCTGCTTTAAAGCCGAGGAATGAAATGATGACTGCTGTTAATGTCGTGTCTCCTGTGGGTCGTACAGTGACAAAAATAAAAATCTAAACCATATTTATCTCTCTCTGCAGTCCTGCTCCGGTTTTTCTTTGGTCAAATATTTTTAATTTCAGTGTAAACAACTGTGTTACATTATTCAGAAGAGCAGTGGCGCACCGCAACTCCCCTCCCCCCACAAAAGCGTCAGATGCGGTTCTGAAAAAGAGCGTTTTAATGTCTCAAAACTTCAGTTAAGTTCATTTTAATATTGTAGTATGCAACAAAATTAATAGCCAGTTTATTTTAATTTAACCAATTTATGTCATTAGTCTACATTATTACATTTAGAATGATCATTCTAATTCAAACAGAAAGCCTCTTGTCAACACAATTATAGAGTGTGATTTATTTTCAACTCGAAATATCTTCAAACTAATGAAATATAAAGTTATAAGTGAAGAAAACCCGTCTGGATAACAGCAGACTGACTGCTCGTAAAATATACGACAGGTCTGGACCACTCGTGAATTTTGTTCGTATCTGAAAAAAATCTTAGAATATGARAAMATTGKTGAATGCCACAAATTCTCCTAAAWCACTCGTACGCACAACTTAAGAACTGTTCGTACGAATGGTTCTTGCATGAGGCCCAGTGTCTGCATTTATACTTGCTCATTAAATGCGCTGTGGAGCTGCTCCTCTGAGGCATGGAGAGTGAAATTTTCATACTCACAGTGGATAGAGGGAAAAATAAAGCCTGACACAGACCTACACAGATTCAGACCAATTAAACTGAGAGATTAAATACGGCTGAAGGGTCAGGCAGAGCGGCGCAAAGTCCCAGTCAGTCGTTCACACGGCGAGACAGTCCAGCAGTTCTCAGCAGTCACTCCGTGAGACAGAAAGTCAGCAGAGTGTTTAAACAGACTCTGTGAAGTCACCGATCTCTGCGAGGATCCCCGGAGCTCGTATCCATCCCCGTCAATCATTAAGTTTCATTCGCTATTACCCACACRACTGCTTTAATTTGAAAACAGCTCTATATGAGAAAGAACATGAGAGCTGGCTGTGCACATTAATTAAAGCAGGCTCTGAACATGTTTATGTGGTGGACATTATGAAGCCTTGAATGACCACATTTTGCTCCGAACGCATATTTTTCCAGGCAGGGAGCGTGATGTTCTCATGACACATTCCATGATAAAAAATACCGCAACATTTGGTCCGGTTTAGTGTGTCAAAACATGATCAGAGTGTCCAAAGATTTTCTTTAAGCAATTCATGTACTAAAGTTAGTCCATTTATAGGGAAGTCTTTGTGATTTTTTTTTTATGAAGTTGCTCAAGCTAAAGTAGCTAAAAGATGGGGAAGTTCTGAAAACAACTAAATTAATTAACCAAAAAAACCACTGTTCCACTGGGTTTCAGCCAGGCTTCCTGTGTTTTGAAAGAGCTGCTTGAACTGCGACAATTTATGAATAGATACTGGTTTTGCAAAAACAATCTGTGGTCTGAATGTCAGGGAATATCTTTGGATCTGGCAAACATGTACCTCCAAAAGCCAACAAAACAAAAAGCGTGTCAGCCGCTTTGCTTTACAAAAGATGCACCACGGGCGTGAATTTCTATCGGGTCACCTTGAGTTCCACTCCACCTTCTGCTTGTCACTGAGGCCCGAGAAGCCTGTGCTGATGTGCAGGGACATCCAGGGGCTGACTCTGTGGAAGAGCCACTGGAAGGTAAAGAAGCTGGTCACCGAGATGGTGAGGATGAGCTGGCTGAATGGGTCCATGGCCACCCAACCCCACTGTGGGAGGACAAAGAGAAAAAAGGGGGTCAACGTCAAAGGCAGTCAAAGAGCCTTTATCAAGATCAAGGTCAAATGTAGTTAGAACATTTCCTAACAACTGCTGTGTGAAAACTGCAATAAACTACAAGATAAAAACAACACAATATAGGAGCAAGAACAAAAAAGCACATAACACGACTCCGTGTATGCATACATGACCAAATTATAAACGTATTGGTACTCTTTAATGAAAGAATAACCCTGACTGATCACTGAAATAACTTTGAAACTGACTAATATTTCTGATAAAGTGACTAATATTAGGGCTGCTCGATTATTGCAAAAATTGTAATCACTAATTTTTTTACTGAAATTGAAATCTAGATTATTTAACAAAATTATTCATTCACTTTGATAACATGAATTTATTGAACATTAACAATGACTGTTAAACATGCTAAACTATGTTTATACTAAAGCATGGAATGACATTCCTCCAAACATAAAGTCCATTTCAAAACTACAGCCCTTTAAGAAGAATCTTGTCTGCCATCTGCTGGACACTTTTTGTTGTGCTCATATTTAGACGTCYTATTTTGCAAATGCTGCCTTYYTGAAATTTGGTATGCTTGTTTGTCTTTGTGYCTATGGTGTATAATGATGTGATTGTGATGCTGTAATTCTGAGTGTTATAATTATGTGCTCCAGAACAGGAACCTGCTGTAATACAGCAATTATGCTGAGTCAGGCTTGATTTTTAGTAATCTTTTCCTGTTAAATAAATCAAATCAAATCAAGGAATCTTAACGTCGTCTGCTCAGAAGAATATGTCCACCCACCGCCTGCGTGATCGTAAACCAAGATATGGATCAGGTAAACTTTGACTCAATAAGGCGATTTTTAGTCACCTTGGACTTTGAATTGTTTACTGAAAAACCTAATTACTTATTGCTTTACACGCTAAAGCTGCAGGAAATGTTAGGCAACAGCATGAATAAGACTGGGTTTCCAGAGTTGAATGAGAGCACCACATCACAGAGTCCATCTTCAAACAAACAACAGGAACCTTCACTGACCTCCTTTCAGATCATAATCAATATTACTCTGGTAATCACGGTTATGGGAACACACTGTACCAAATAAAGATAATGATTTGATAATCATAAAAAAATATCAGAATTACAAACACGGCATATTTGAACATTTCATTTAAGACACAGCTTTTATTTTCTAGAACGGTGCATAAAAAAAATCACCCATTTAGTACGCAGTGAATTGTTGAGGATGACATTTTCAAACAATAACCTTCTGTCTCAAGAGGCTCTTATCTCCCAATAACCAGAAGAGCATCAGCGTTTCTGCACTTGAACTCCCTCACACATGGCGTGTGCACAGCGTGTCATCCAAATGTTCTCGCAGCCACAGATGGAGCTGCTGGTGGGTCTGCTCCTCCTGAATCTGGCCCTGGTCACAGTCAGAGGCTGTGAACATCACTGAGTCACCATCAGACACATTCTGAGTGATCGGCTCAACCACAACATGCTTAGAGGCAAGAAACCAAGGTTTCAAACACAGATTTACATTGAGCCGGTGGAATGGGCCACACTATCTCCAGTCTGGACTATACCAGGGCTGAGAGGGGCTGTTGGGGGTTTTTAAGCTGCTGCTGTGCTTTTACCGCAGACTAGCAACAATAACTTGAGGACTTATGCTGCTGTGTAAAAACAGGTTGGACCACTAATAATAACATTATCAAACTGAGGGTTTGTTTTTCTAGTTTTGTATTTTTTAAGAAAGAGAAATGGTGTAGTAGCACAAGTGACAGTGAAATGCATATCCTTCACAAAAAGTCAAAGAAAACATCTTTATTTACAAAACTTGGCAATAAACACATGGTTTTACCCAATTTACCCACATAAATGGCATATTTTCTTAGGAATTTGGCTCAGCCAAAATGAAACAGGAAGTGACATCAAAGGGGAACTCTTTTAAGATGTGAAACTCTCTGGTCTTTGTTTATTAAAACAATATATTTTGAACTCTAACTCTTTATCTCTCTTCGGTAGTAACTCAAAATAATCTAAAGAAAACTTCAGATTCTTCTCTGCAGTCTCTGCTGTCGGCCATTGTAGTGATTCTCTGTTGACATTCAGACATTCCCCTTTGACATCACTTCCTGTTACAGCACATGCAAAATATTTCCACATAYGTCCATCTCAGCGGTATAAAATTTTCTTTGCATTATGTTTTCAATATTATGGTTCCAAAAATGCATTAATCTTTATTACAAAATTTTGATGTCACRGGCACTTTAACATGCAATGCATTTGTTGAAATTTGCACTTGAATAAAAGGTTTACGAAGAACCAAGGAGATTTCAGTTCATCCTGAGAGARGATGTGAATTTGTCTATGAAATTTCAAAGAAATTCATTTGATGGTTGTTCCCTTTTTTTCTTTATTTTTTTAATCACTACATCTCATTGTGGGGGTGGCGCAAGAAGTAAACACACCACCAGGGAATCACCAAACAGAGCGGAGAGATTTTTGACCCGATTGTGTTGTTGGTGGAAAACCCAAAAGAAAATCAATCCACTCACAGACACAGATGCAGCCGTCTGCTCAGAATGTGAAAATGTCATGGTACACCATGAGCACTTTTCAGATTAACCATTTAACCAACAATTAAAAACAGAAAATGTTCTAACTTAGTGTTAGTTAAACCAAAACAAGGGATTTTAACTGCTGAAGTTCTTTAGATTATTAACAAATCTGACAGGTTTAACCAATTAAATCTTAATACAGACCTCATAAAWTTCCCCAAACCTGCATAAAACATACTTGTGTTCACAAGAAAAAAGGCTCATAAAATTAGTCAGATTCATTTTAGTTACTATGTGGCTCATGTGCAAGCATTTACAACTAAGTGAATTTTGTGTGGGAGGTTAATCTGTTTGAAAATAGTAATAATTTGTAATAGCAACAGAGAATATTTTACAGAAAAACTCAAACTGAAAATTCTGTGAAAAGTGACTTTTTGCAACAGATCCTGAAACTAGCAGGACTATAATCACTCTGTCTTGTGGCCAGTAAACTTTAAATCAGCACTTTTAATCAAAATACTTTATAAAGAAAAAAAATGATAAAGTCTTATACACTTATAAGTTAACAATGAGAATGACATTGTTTGCAATTTATATTCTTGATTTAATGCGTGCAGCCATGAAAAATTCATTGTAATTATTGAGAAGGAGTAGGTTTATACAAGGTTTTTCTTCTGAAAGTTGTTGAATTGAGGGAATAAACTTATTGATTGATTGATTGATTGATTGATTGATTAAATATATGCCACAGACACAAGCCCACAGAGACCACTGACCTGTTTTCTTTGATTAGAACTATTTTTTTATTTATTTCAACATTTAAAAGGTTAGAGGGGTCAATAGCTTCAAAAACAGACCAGTTTAACATCAGTTTTCTTTTTGAACATCTATTTTTTACAGTCATTTGTTTTCATACACTCATCATTTTGGGCTTTATACAGTATTGATTGATTTGAACTAGTTTTTTTTTGATAAACAAGGCTAACGTTTGCAAAGCTCTGACATCAGTCAATCAGCACKGACAATTACTGTAACACCACAGCTGTTACAACAGGATCAGACTTTAAGGCCCGTTTTAGAGTGCCTTTCTTTTGCCTGCTTGGGATGCATTAAAATTTTAATGGTCTTTGTACTTTAGGGAGACGTTTCGAGAAACCCCAGTGACATCTGTGTAAAGCTATCTTCTGGCGTGCTTTACTGAGAGAGGAGGCTTGTTTTATGTACACACACACACACACACACACACACACACACACACACACACACACACACACACNCACACACACACACACACACACACACACGTTTTGGGGGCCATAAAGTGCAGCACAGGATCTTGTTGCCAAGGGTAAATGGTGACAAAGGTCAGCGGTGAGGAGAGAAAACAGCTGAACCTGGAGAATAATCAGGGTTTACGGATAATAATATGAAAAAAAGGGAAAAAAGGCAGAGATTTGTTAGTTTTACTTCCTTAACGACAATCCTGTCACCAACTAAACAGGAAAAATCATAATCAAAATCCCAATTTTAAATATATTTTATTTTTTATAGGAAGTTTTAAAACGTGAAAATATTTATCTTAAAATATGGACATTTTGAATAAATATTAAGTGGTTTTAAAATAGTTTGGTCTAAATGTTCGAATAAATGAAAAGGGTGCATGTATCACTTGAACATAACTGATTTTTATTCAGGAATATGACTTAGACAGCCTGACTACATTTGTATCACTAAAAGCGAAAGTATACGCTGAGCCACGTTTTCGCCCGAGTCTGTATGTGCGTTCATTTATCTGTACGGCAAGCATTTAATGAAACTTGCAGAAAGTAAACTGATTAATATTTGGAGTCAAGCCAATCCAAGATGATCGCCACAGCTAATCAAACTTTCCCAACACAAAAACGGTTAGAACTCAGTGAGTTGTACATATTTTGGGCTAAGATTTGGCGTGGTAGTAGCTGAGCGTCATTCACAACATATAATCAGAGGGCTAACAGATGGTGTGAGATATCCCAGTGTTGCATGTCATTGCACATGAAGGTTACTCTCAAAGWTTGACCAAAAAAAAAACTATAAACCTGTCACTTCTTAATGTCAGAAGACGATKAATTAAAACTTGTTTTTATAATGTTTTTAACTTATCTACTGCTGTGAACAAATGTACTACCTTCAAGACAATATGTTTTTATCTGTCTATTCTATTGTACTTTACATCAAAAGCACACATGCTCAATATAAAACATAAAAGGTACATGTACCTTAAATGTAAACATTGCAAAGTATGAAATAAAAGACAAAAAGGGCAATCTTGAACTATATCAAATGGTCCTGTCTGTTTGAAAGATTTTTTTCTTGACATGCATTTCTGAAATGTGGGTAYGCACTCAATGTAAACAAAGCACCCAGGCGAAACCAAAAACCAAAGGAATGCTTGAGTCTAGAGCTGCCACAAACGATTATTTTAATAGTCGATTAATCACCGATTTTTTTCAATTAGTCGACTAATCGGATCATACATTAATTGAATATAAAACATACAGCTTATCGCGCCAGAATGCATCTGCTATTATATAACCATGGTTAGATTTTAGCTACTGTATATGCTAACTAAAAATAATTGCTGTGGAAGGCAAGTTCTGCCTTGCAGATATTACATTGCACAGGTTTCTCTTTCATTTTCTTAAAATGATCCCACACTTTTGAGCTCYGTTGCTGGGTAGCCATGATACCAGAGCCTGTCTGTAYAATGTCTTGTGACGTCCACGGCCTACCCCAGTTACCACTACTGTGCATGTGTGTCAAGGACAGAAAGGCAGACGTGGCAGTGGAAGGTGTCAAAGCAGTTTGTAGAGAAAAACTAAGTAAAGAACAAAAAAAAAACCAACCAGAAAATGATTAATCGATTATTAAATTAGTCATCGATTATTTTAATAATCGATTAGTCGTCGATTAATCGACTAATCGTGGCAGCCCTAGTTGAGTCACATGACAAATCTGCATCAGGTGATGTGATGTAGGTAACCAAATATGGTCATAATTTCTATCACTTTTTGTTTCCTGTAGTTTAAAAAATATGTGAGGTAGTTATAAGTATTTTGATAGCAAATCTTTGTTTTAAGAACATCAATACAGAAAATGTGCAGGATTTTTTTCATAACTTTGCAAAACAGAACCTTGGAAAAAAGCAATATACAAGGTTGTAACAGTTTGGAGCGCATTTTCTAACAAATAAAAATATATTAATGCGGCTAAGACTGATTTTTATTCAGGCATATCGTTCAGACAGCCTTTTTCTGATAGAAGTAGCATATGTGATTGCGTAACACGGGTCTCCTAACGAGGAAACGACAGAAGAACGAAAATAACCCGAGAGGTAGAAGACGGTAGATGGGTTTGTTTTCACCCAGATCCTGGAAACATGAAAGAAAATCGTGTAAAAATAAATAAATAAATAAAAGCAGCTCAAACAGAGCCAGTTCACGCCGCATTATTGCTCGTCCAGATGCTGTTCTGTGTATGTGTGTGTATGTGTGTGTGTGTGTGTGTGTTGTCAGCATAAAATCACAGATTAAATATGAAAGACAGCGTTCGGACTCACTTTGTGACTCTCATTCAGATGACTAAGAGGCGTCTCGATCTCACATTACGGTCTCCAGGGTCGCTTGTAAAAAAAAGGAAAAACCGAAGCTACAGCCACGATGAGGATGATGACGACGATTCATTCTTTTAATATATATATTTTTAAAATAACAAAACAAGAAGACCGGCCTCCTCCTCCTTCCTCTGCACACTGACACTAACGACAGCCGGTGGTGGAGCCAGAGGACGGGTGCAGACCGGAGGAGCCGCTGGCTGGTTCTGCTGCTGCTGTGTTTACCGAGGAGTCCAGCCGAGGAGAGCTGCAGCTGCGGGGAATCGAGCAGCTCGACGCTCGATTAACAAGAAAGGTGAGGACGAGGAGGAAGGGTTGAAAGGGGGGTGAGCATAGGGGGTCTCTCTCCTTACAGATCATATAAGGCAAGCAGTGGGCGGGATAGGCAGTGCTCACTCTAGTTGTGTAATTTAACTCTRTGCTATGGGCTCAAATTACAACCTCAGCTCTGATACACAGATGGACAAAAATGTAATCTATAAACAGTCAGAACTAATCGATTATCGAAAYCCTTCATGACTAAAGGTGCACTGCCTGTTTATATCATGCAAATGAACAGATAGGGCATAGAGCTTAATTATGATAGATAGATAGATAGATAGATAGATAGATAGATAGATAGATAGATAGATAGATAGATAGATAGATAGATAGATAGATAGATAGATAGATAGAAATCCCAAGTAACCAAGGCAGTTACCTATTTTTCTCTAATTAAAATTGTGTATTGTATTGTCTCTCAATTTTATTTATGAAATGTTAGTTATTCTTTTGAGGCAGACTGTCTTAAATTGGCAAAAAAAATTCTTAGGACACAAACAATAAAAAAGTACGATATACCATTTAATATTCATATGGAATTAGAAAATTAAGATACATGCACTGATAAAAACAAATAGAAACATAAAACCACAGCAATATAAAAGAAACAAAAAAACTCTGGGATACTTTCAATGTAACTCCATTAGATGGTTAAAAAAAATGACCGTGTACTTATTAAGTCACATGTAAAACAGACAAWATATAGTTTGGTTTCTTCTGGTAATGACAATAATAATAATAATATAACAAAAAATAGCAGATGTACATCATAGCTTTGGTCAAAGTACAAGAAAAAAAAGGCACAATGATTTATGTTGATTTCAGCAAACTTAATGCAGCTTTAATGATTATAGTGGAAGCTATTTACAAGAAAAAGTACAAAAAAATTAATTTGTGGTAATAAGTGATATTTAGTGAAAAGTAGTGGATAAAAGCAGCCCAATATTCAGATAATATAAAATAACTGTACCATAAATCCACCTGCTTGGCATCTTTAAAGAAAATTATCCTTAAGAACTAAAATTTAAAAAAATACAGATAGTATACATCAACAATAAAGTACAATTATTACATTTTTTGTAACAAATTTTAACTGTTGTCGTTTACAAAACTAAGTACAGCTCCGAAACCATGTGCAAATATCACAACTTTGTGTCTCTAATGCCTATTATCGTAATGAAAAACAAGTCGTTTCAGTCTTTGGTAAAGCTCCAGCACATTAGATCGTTTCAGAAAACGCAGCAGTAATTCATACTGAATAAATTCAGACGGGCTGAGCGTCTGCTTGCACCTGTTTGGATGCCATGTGAGGGCATGATGAGGAACATTACGGAGCTGCAGCAACTTTAGGCTGTGTTCAAAGCCCACAGTAAATACACAATCATCCGCGCCTAAACAGACACTTTTTAATCTCATGTGTAAATATGATGCACACACACACACACACACACACACACACACACACACACACACACACCTGAGGAGGCAGCAGGAATATTACAGGAAATCAAACTAATGCAGAAGAAAAGTAAAAAAAACTTTAAAACTTTCAGACGAAATAGATTCAGATAAAGCTTGAAGACAATTTCTGATATTTTTAACCGAAAAAAATACTATAAAAAGCACTTTTTCTAAATAGAACATAGTAAATGAACAAAATTAAAAGAAAAACTTATTAGYTTCAAGGCAGAGAAATGCATTGCAGCACATTTCAGATTTGTTTTTTGTTCTTGTAAAATAAAACTGAAAATTGCTACTGTTTCACACAAGTAAGGCACATGAACTGTTTTGTTTTTAGAAGTAAAACGTTCTTCTCGAGGTTTTGTCTCCACAAAGACATTAGATTTTTTTAAAGGTATTTAAAAGTCACAAAAAGAGTTTCTAACTGGGTATCCAAAACCTTGTTTTGGTTGTAATTATTCTCAATAATTAATTAATCGTTGCCAGTTATCAAGTCATTTTTTATTTGGCTCTGCAAGCTCCTCAGACAGGAAGACACGGCAGAACCTATTGTAGCAGAAACCGCTCCTCGTCGGCGTGTCGCTACACCATGAACTGGGTGTATCCTTCAGCGCCGGTGACGATCACGTCCATCCAGATCCTCATGGCCTCAGGAGAGGGGGCGACCATGTAGTAGACCCTATCATGAGTCTTCACACTGAATGTTAGGGAGGGGTTTGGACTCTGAAGGGGATGTAAAGTAAAACGAATAAATCACATTAGAAAAGCCAAGCAGAACAGTAGMTAAAAGTAACAAAGCAGATGCTAAAACTAAAATAATCACAACAGTGTAAAACGAGGTAGCTAAAATGAAAAGTAGCAAAATTGTAGGTAAAAAAAGCAGCTGCTAAAAGCAAAAAGTTACATAAACAGTTTGATCAAACAGATTAATGTTTTTCATAGAACAGAACAGAACAGAACAGAACAGAACAGAACAGAACAGAACAGAATAGAAATAGCCTTTATTGTCCCAGAGAGGGGAAAATCAGGTGTCACAGCAACATCAGTACAGAGGTTCACACTCTAGTTACTTTACAAACTATAGACAGTGCACAAAAACTAAATTAACACTGACTAGCAATGAGACGACTACTATTAATAAAAAAATATAATATAAAGAATTGTGCAAAAATAGAAAAAAAAGGTGTGTTTTGTTTTAGGAACTGAAGAGGTCTCAATTTTTAGAAATGATAAAAGCTACCCAATCAAGTCATGGCACACTACTCCTGATCAACCTGAAAAACGAGTTGTTACAATCGCAGAAAGTATGAGTCAGTTTGATTCTAAGAAAAAAACGTTTAGTAGAAACTGCACAACAGGAAACAACAGTGAACACATTTACACAAACACAAGAAACTCGTACTTTATGTGCGCTCTTCAGATGATCGTAATAAACTTCTTCAATAGCTTGGAAGTAAATCACTCCTTTCAGTTTGGCCTCATGTTTATCTGGGAAAAGACGCAACACAAGCAGATGTTCAATGTAAGTTTAGTCATTACACATACCTTTAAACACACAACTAATCATTAAAGTTGTAACAACGAGTGGGCTTTGTGTCCTACCTGAGTAGTAGGAGAGTGTGCGTCGGTTGCGGTCAAAGACGAACCAGCGTTTCTTCCAGGTTTTGATCTTGCCTCCCATCTTGACCAGGTAGCCTCGGCAGGTCTTGTCAGAGATGGATAAGTGGAAGCACGTGTCTGTGCTGTGGCCCGCTGACTCGATGTGAGAGCGCAAGTCGAAGTCGTCCTTCCTCACTGGCAGGTACCGAGTCAGCGGCCGGGACTGGAGGGAAAGGTCAGTGAGAGAGTGAATTGGTTGAAAGTAACAAGAGCCACGTGTTTAGAGTTACTTTGGCCCTTTTGGAATGCAGACAAATGCTTTTCATATGCTGGGGAACATCAAAATGTGAGTCTCCAGTCAGAAGGSTCAACAAAACTGAAGAGGACAAAATGGAGGGAAATGTGCATAAATTATAAAAAATTAACGACAATGAAATTTAATTTAATGCCAAAAATATTGTCAAACCAACAGTGAAGTTTTATTAAACCAGGCAAAAATCACACATCTCTTTTGCAAGGGAGGCCCGGGCCTGAAGACAACCTGTTGTGTATGTTTTTGGTTTGTGGGAGGAAACCAGAGCACCTGGAGGAAACCCACGCAAGCACGAGGAGAACGTGCAAACTCTGCACAGAAAGGTCCTGGGTCTGAACCAATGTGCTCAAAGCAGCTCGTAGATTCTCAAAGGACATAAACAGTAACTTTTTACCAGAACCAGAACCAGAACCAGCAGGAGTCTGAACCCAAGGCATCTTGTGCTGTTGCACTTCAGCTTGTTAAACAGTTTATTTTTTTGACTGTTTCAAACCTTTTGTGTTCATATTAATTAAACAAGAGTACAACTGTTATGCATATATTTGAGCATGGAACTATGTACAGCTTAAGACTTTTTAAGACTTCTTTAATGCCACTCAAAAAAAATTCACAATAGATAACAGACAAAGGGATTAAAAAAAACAACCCTGTTAGCAACAATTTTATCCAAATGTTTATTTTAAAACAAAACAACTAGCTGCAAGAAGCATTCTGTGAATTAATAAAAATACCAATTATTTTAATATGAGATGAATTACAATCATCCTACTTACAATGTTTTAACATCTTTAAGACCTGTGAAAGATTGATTTAAGGCTAATTAAGATACTTGCACTGTGCAACGAGACAGAAAATTCATGATTCGGTTCGGTTGGATACTTTAGTCTCAGGGTTCGATATTTTTTTGATACAAATAACCAAAA